AATGTGATGTATCAGTTTAACAGCGAACTGTAGATGCATCACTCAGAAAGCACTCACAGTTCTGTTTTCACAACCAGGGAGTCTCTGTAATTTTGGGGATGTCCCCTTAGTTCTCTCTATCATTATTCTATTAGAAAAGGTATAGAATCGCCCCCCTGCCCTCTCCATTTCCCCGCATCTGGAAGACCCCACTGGTGTCACTAAATGACTGTAGAGCAAGGATAGTAATTTCTGCCTGAGAGTCAAATGTGGCCTCCACCATCTCTATATGGCCCTCAGGACTCTGAACAAGACACACCCCTCCATAAACCACACTATTTTTGGCACCCAGCACCTTCCTCTGGTGTTTTTACCAGGCCAGAATGTGTCCTTGAACTGAGATATCTCTTGCTTTTCTGGATGGAAGATGGAGAGCAGTGTGGGCAAACCCACTTTCACAACACCCACCATTGCTATGGAGCGTCCAGAAGAAAACATGGTCCTTGGATTGAAAAAGATTTCCCATTTTCCCTGCCTCTTACTTTTTTCTGATAAATACTGTAAAAATAATCACCTGTGTTTTGGAGGACTAACAAAGTCCCATAAAAGGTGCTTTGTTTGGAAAGCTGAAAATGCTTTAAAAGGAAATGCTGTCATAGTAAGAGATTCAAAAATGAAGAAAAATTGATATATGCACCAGCTGTGATCATGGAAATCATTTAACAGTTGTGCACATGTCAGGTCCCTGCTCAGGGCCAATTGAAGATGTGCAACTTTCACTGTCTGCAGGATTAAGCTTTTTGAACAGTGTTGAAACCTGTTTTGTTCATTTGGGTTAGCAGGCAAAAAAAACAAACTAATTCTGCAACAGTTGTGTGAATTGAAGTACAGTGGTACATTGGTTTGCATATGCCCTGGTTTGCATACATTTTGGATTACAAACACGTCAAACCCGGAAGTGTGTGTCCCAGTTTCAGTTTGCAACCTTTTTTTGGATTACAACCCATTTTTTTTGGATTACGACCAAAAAAAATTTGGAGGCCCCATTGGTGAAAGCGTGCCTTGGTTTACAACCTGTTTTGGTTTACAAACGGACCTCTGGAACGGATTCTGGTTGTAAACCAAGGTACCACTGTAGTCAGATAAACTGACCCCTGCAGTTGTAATGCAATGAGCAACATGGAAGGGGAAATCTGTACAGTACTGCTGAAGACATACAAGTGGTGTAGACTAGTTCAGAATTGAGTCCATACAGAAGGATGGAAATTCTGCATGGATGGGGGGGAAAGAAGCCTAAACAGTAGCAAATGGACTGGCCCTCTGATGTAGCACAGCTGATAAGAGGGTATACGGAGAGCAGATAAGTGAGACCACTTTGACAATCAAAGCAGCTGCTTCCTCACTTTGACGGATGCAGCATTTTGCATATTTTATACAGTGCCAGCATGTTAAGAATTAAAATTCTTACAACTAAGGTTTATGGCTGCATGTGCCACTTCGGGATCACGACTCAGTCGGGCGAGCGTAACCGCGGCTTTTTGCTGAACTCGTTCGCAAGCAGCTACTTCTGGTGAATTCCCAGATGACGATTTCTCAAACAGCATTTCCATTAAAACTTGAACACCTACAAAGGAGTGAAACACTGTTGATAAGCACTGTTGATAAGGCTATAGTGAGAATATTCAGGACAAAAAGCAGAATTAAAAAGGATGCAGCATGGTTTGCATACCATTTCCTTGGATTATTTCTGAGGCACACTGGTCCAGGACAGACATGTTTGCTAATATCGTCACAACCTAAATTAAAGAGAAACAACCACTTGAAATATTACATTTCACAATTCTTACCATCACCATGCATTTAAGACATGTCCTTCTAAGCTGCCAATTAAGTATCAGCACCTTCGATTTTCTGAGGTATCTTTTATTGCCACCTTTTCACAGTAGCTCAAGGGAAGCCAGATCATTATTTCCGCCTCCCAACGGTGCTCTGTATTAGCTGAAGCTTCCATAGCAAACCCCACAGAGCACACTGTAGTAATCCAGCCTTAAAGAAACCAATGCTTGAACTGCTGTGACCAAGCACTCCAGTTCAGAAATGGTTGTAGCTGTTATACCAGTTGCAGCTGGTAAAAGGTGTTTCTAGTCACTGAGACAACCTGGTCCTCTAGTGACAGAGATGCACCCAGAAGCATCTCCTGGTGCAATCCTGCTCCTTTACAGGGAGTGCAACCCCATTCAGGGTAGGCAACTGACAAGCTTCTTGGACATGTGGACCATTCTGTCTTGCCAGGATTCAAGCTCAGCTTGTTTTTCCTCAACCATCTCATCATTGTGTCTAGGCACTGGTCCAAGGCCTGCACAGCCTCTCCCAATTTAAGTATTATGGAGAAACAGAGCTGAGTGTTATCAGCATACTGATAGCACCTTACACTACATTGTATAATGTAGTATAAACACTGACAACTGGGAAGCACTGGCCTGCGAGTGCTCCAGTTGGAGAACAGCCTTTACCAAAGGTGTCATGGGTCTTGAAGACACTCAGACTCGGGATGAAATGGAGAAAGGCATGCTTGGCAAACCCTCACCATGATCAACTCCTGCCCGGAAACCTATGTCCCCCTGTGGAAGTACGTGTGGATCCAGAATTGGCCTCCACAGTCACTTATGGACTCACTGTTAAAACCGTGTTTATGGAAGACAATCTTACTCGGCTACGAGTGATAGCCAAAGAAGAAGAAGAAGAAGATAGCACCTTGCCTCAAATGCCTAATGACCTGTCCCAGATGCTCCATAGAAAGTTAAATAGCATTGGAGATATGATAGTGTTCTGTGGTACCCATAGTGTAACTGGCAGGGGTCTGAAAAATGCCCTCCAAATGCTACTCTGTGGACATGATCCTGGAGGTAGGACTGGGACCACTGTAATGCATTGCCCCCGATTCCCATTCCTTGAAGCCAGTCCAGGAGGATACCATGGTCAATGGTATCAAAAGCCAAAGAGAGATCAAGAAGCAGGAGCAAGGTTGCACTTCCCTTGTCCTGCTCTCTGCAAAGGTCATCCATCCATGCAATCAAGGTGACTCAGTCCCATGGCCACTGCTGAACCCACACTGGAATTGATCTAAATAATCGGTTTCATCCAAGACATGACAGTCTCACCACAACTCTCTCCACAACTTCGCCCAAAAAAGTATTTGTTGCTGGTTGATAGTAGCTTCAATTCAAGGGGTCCATGGCTGAACCACCACCTCTTTCAAGGCAGCAGGAAACTTCCCCTAACACAATGAGAAACATTAACCATGCTCTAGACTTAACCATTCATATACCCTCTGCTTGATTTGATAAGTAGGAGAGACTGGAGTCAAGATGGCATGTGGTCAGATGTGTGGCTACCAGCGTCTTGTCCACATCAGTTGATTCTGTCAACTGATACCAATGCCACACTACATCATATTTGAGGCACTGGGCACTTTGGCTGGAGTTGTAACAACTGCAGAGTCAATATCACTCCAAAGTTATCCTCCAAGTGTATAGGCAGCTAGTCAAAGCAGGTCTTCAAAAGCTCCAGAGGTCCCTACCCCATAGTGGGAGTCAGTAACCTAACTCGTGATTCCATTGCTAGCATGACTACCATGAGTTGTGGTTGTACAGGTCTGCTCTAGAGGAGCAGGAGTACAACTAATGGGTGAAAATGGTAGAAAAGCTAATGTTGAGAACATCAGGGAAGAGAATACTAATGGTAAGAGCTGTTAACCAATGGTGGTATTGCCCCCCCCCCACTGGAAGATAGCCTTCTGCCAGAGATGCTTCAGTTCCATCCTGCATTGCAGATCCTGTACTGAACACAGAGCTGAACCAGATGATCACTGAGGTATCTTCTATGAGTTGTATTCAAATAACTCATACTCACAGTAGACCCCCTGAGATCAATGGCTAACTATGTTCCTTGTTTTCAGTGGGTCCAGCATGAGTATGAGTTAATTGGACGCCACATCAACTGATGCCTTGCATCACAGATACAGAGCTACGAACCAAACTTTGATCATCACCTCTCGACACAAAAGCCCAGCAAGAAGGAATGTGGCACTTCTGTGTTTTATGCAGTGCACTGCTGCGCTAAAAATAATAATAACGCTAAACTAAGGAGGTGTGAGAATTGTACATAATGAAATGTACAGAAACACAAGAGCATTTGTTGGGGCTCAGGCGATGCTATTGTAGGGCAAATGCACATGTTTGGATAACATAGCTTGAGGCCCTACCCTGTGTATTCAAACAAACAAACCTCACTGATAGAGTTAAGGAAGCCAAGTTGCCATCAATTTGGCTCTCACTAGGTCATTATAGTAACAAAGGATATTTGTTTTGGGTTGTGTGTCACGAAGGTCTCCTGCTTCCTTCAGCAGTGCCACAGTGTCATCTCTCTGAATAAACAGGCCCATTTAGGATGCAAATGACTTGATGAAATGCCAATAGTGACAGGCAGAAAAAATGGGAACTCAAGACACATCTATGTGTTGATTCAATGTTAATTATTAACAGTGTTTCAGGCATGTGTCCCTTCGTTCTAAATGATATCCTGTTAATTAAAATTACTTGCTCCATGGAGAGCCTGCACCCCATGCAGCTTTCTAAGCAAAAGATGAAGAATTCAATTAAGGACAATTTGAATACATGCCAATTATTCCACTCCTTCAAGTTATTTGATTGAATCTTAGAAATGTGTGTGTGTATGTGTGTTTGTATTTGTGTCTTTTGACTGATGAATTTATATCAGCTCAATGACTCCAGTTGCCCCTTATCCAATTATCCCAAAGAATTTCTTTATATGTGCAAGACAAACAGTGACCATCATAGAATCATAGAATCATAGAGTTGGGGAATTGGCAGAAATGACTGGCAGAATCTGAGACCAGGGAGAAGAGTTGGTGGAAGAAGACTGGAAGAAATTTAAAGACTATTTACAGAAATATTGTAAAATTAATGAATGATAGAATGATGTTGGATAGCAATTAAGCGGTTTCTAGCTGTAATGCTCTACTAAAATTGGAACGATACAGAGAAGATTAGCATGGCCCCTGCGCAAGGATGACACGCAAATTCGTGAAGCGTTCCATATTTTTAAGAGAATATGAAAAAAGGGTTATAAATGGGTTAAAATCTAATGGTAAGGATTTGCTGAACCAATAAATTGAAGTGGAATACAAAAAAGGGAGGTACGAGGAGGTCCGGGAAACAAGCTAAAGAAAAATAAGTAATAGAAGATATGTGTGTTTTTAACTGTTTTTATTTTGTATTTTTCTCCTTTCTTTTTCATTTTTACTGTAATATTTCAAGAAACCTTAATAAATATCTTATGGGGGGGAAAAATAGAATCATAGAGTTGGAAGAGACCACAAGGGCCATCGAGTCCAACCCCCTGCCAAGCAGGAAACACCATCAGAGCACTCCTGACATATGGTTGTCAAGCCTCTGCTTAAAGACCTCCAAAGAAGGAGACTCCACCACACTCCTTGGCAGCAAATTCATGGTGCTGGGAATTTATTCAATACCAAAATTGTTTAAATTTTAAGAAGACCACCATAATGTACAGATTGGGCAAATTACCCCTACATACATGAGACTTATTCAGTACAAAACCTCATTTAATTAAAACCACAAACCTAAGACTTAGCATATTCAATCAAACCAGTGGTCCATAACCCCCAGAATCCCGTGTCCAAACATAACAGTCATGAGTTACCAGGTTGAGGCAATCCTAGACTTGCCTAATATTCATAATGCCTGGAAATCAGTAACTTGCAGCGTAGGTTCCAACTTTACAGTCTAATAGCTCCTTAGAATTCCTTATCTGGTCAGAACATTTTAACTGCATTGTGCTTAACAACCATTAGTAGTTTTGCCAGTGACAGCAGACACAGTACATACAGTGAGAAACAGAGGCAGGGAAGGATAAGATAAGATAAAATAAGATAAGAGGCAATACAAACTGGCAGAAAAACAAATAAGCAAGTGCTTTGATTCATCTTCATGGAATGACTTGTAATAATTGCACAATAGTTGTGCGATAAACAGAAGTTCAAAAATTCCAGCAATCTGGTATCCTAGGACAACCATATTATTAAGTCCAGGGTGCGGGACAGTGAAAAGAACAAAATGTTCTTCCTTCCATGCTGCAGCATTTTTTAAACAACAGCAGCATAGGAAGCTAGTTTATACTGAGCCTCAGACCATCTAGATCAGTATTGTCTACACTGAGTAGCAGCATCCCTCCAAGGGTCAGGTGGGAATCTCTCCCAGCCCCACCTGAAAATGCTGGGGACTCAACTTGAGACATTCTACATGCAGGGTAGCTGCTCAGCCACTGAGCTATGGACTTTCCCTGCAAATAACCACTTCAAAGAGGTGATCTGCAAATACTACCTTTGCTTGCACTGTGCACATTTAGCTCTCTTTTGTGTTATCATTGTTAGCATTTGCAGAAAGGGGAGGAGCAAGCTGAAGGGGCGGGCCTTGAGAATACACTGCCCCCTACGCAGAGCCAACATTTGATGCCTTCCCCCAGCCCTCACAGTGCTGGCTTAAGCCAGACTTTGGGAAGGAAGCAAGAGGCTCTGCAATCCTAAATGCACATATGGGAGCAAGTCCCAATGAACGCAATGGGACTTACATTGAGTAGACACATAGAGGATTGCACTATAATACCGTCTTGGAGAATCTGGGGGAAGAAAGCTTAATTTTGTAGAGAAGAAAATTTGGCAATGACATATAATGAAATTTCCCCCCTTGCTATGCTCTCACCTTTTTAAGAATTAGTGCCCTCGTTTTCTGATGGTCAGCATCTCATACAGCAGAGCTGGGAGTCATTATGCTAATTAAATCTTTAATAGTCATAAGAAAACAGCTTTTCAAGAGCTTTATTACTGTCACTAACAAGGATGGGGGAAAATGAATCTTAAAACAAAAGTTCCTGTGTTCATTTCACTAGGTGGCAAAGTACATAAATATGGAAGTGCTAAAATGAGTGGTTAATTATCATCTAGCTAAGCAAAATTGCTTCCCACTATGTTTTATTTCACTTCAGTTAATTGCATAAAGTCCAGTTAAGGAAGACTTGCAATGTTTCGTCCAACCTTCCTATCATAGATATGAGGGTTTGGGGAGACTGGGAAAGCAGTTACTGATCTTAACATGTAAATTATAGAAAGACAAAGGGTTCCATCTGAGACAGGAAAAAGGCTTCTATGCGCTATGTGGTCCTTGACTCCAGGTGGTGACCCAATCAAGTCAGCAAAATTAGTTCAGAGGCTTCCATTATGCAGTGTTGATATGCATCCTTCAAAAAACAAATAAATAGGAAAATATATCATAGATTATAAAAAAAACCTTCATGCATCCTTTTTGCATCATCAACGTTTGACTTCAGTTATCATGTTTGAATATAATGCAGGATTCTGACAGGGTTTTTGATAGTTTGTGGGTTTTTAAGAAGACTCTAAAGGGAGCACACTGGAAGCAAAGTAAAACATTTACTTTACCTGAAAAATGTGTCGAAGATGAAAAACCCTGTTCCCAAGCTTTCTGATGCCCTAATCCTATAATTCACTCTGAACAACTCCAAATGTCAGCCTGTATGATTTATATTGATTGAACTGTGGTTGTAAGTTATTTTTAATGTGTTAGTGTGCAGCTACCTTTCTGTTTTCCTTTATTTCATGACAGGAGGGGAGGGCAATTGCTACTGGGACTGCAGTATGCAGGAAAGCTTATTTCTTCCTTCCCAGTTGACATCAGGATGAAAATCCCATTCCCACACCTCCAAGGGAAAGACAAAAGTTCCCAGTGAGCTGTGTGTCCCCCATACTAGTAAATTATTGAAGAAAAGTGTGCGCTCTGCATTCAGCGCAACATTTAGCTAGGTCTTCAGAGTAACACTTTTTCTATGCTGCTCCTGCACATCTGGACTAGGGTATTTGATACCATGGGATCCTTAGAAGGATGGTTCCTCTGCATTGGTTTGTCATGTATGTTTTGCAGCTGTCTAAAGGTTCTTTCAGAAGTTACTCTCCAGGCATTCCAAGAATGAATGGGGGAAGGAGGAGAGGAGCTGCATGCTCTGGCCACACCAGTCCTACCACTAGACTTTTGTGCACTGAGAAGAAAGTCTGGAAGGGAAATATGCACATTCACTTCACCCATCTACCAGGAATTCCAGTCATGCAGGGTTCTGAATCCCATGGAGGGACCTACATGCATCCCATCAAATCTGTGTAGCCACCACCTTTAGATCTTCTTCCCCCTATGCAAAGGTCTTGGAGTAGAAGCAACAGAGGAAGGGAAATTGGGACTGGGCCAGCATGTAGTGGGGCCTTACCCCCCCCATACCCATTCTTGGAGCACAAGAAGAATAACTTCTGCCATTTGTCTTGACTCAATTCTTATGTCCTGGAAATGCTTAAATTCTTGTAAACAAAACAGGGATGTATATAGCATAGATCAACACTTTTATTTAAAATATGGAAATAAATTATTATGGATTCACAGACAAAAGTCATTAGATAGCTCCACCCTAACTGCGTTGCTAGAGTTCATGAAAGCCCAGCTCCCAAACTCTGCCCTGCTCTTATTTTTATACCCATTACTGGCAATTCTGCCACTTGTTTAATTTCCTAAGTATTTTGAGAAATTTAATTATTGCAATTCATCATATTCAGCTTTGTTAAGAGAGACAAAACGATTACCTCACCTCTTGCTATATAAGCAATGCTTCCAAAGTTGTTTTCTAAATGTGTGCTCAGTCACTTCGTAAATGACTGTGTCACACATGCCAGGATGTATTGTGCAAAAGGCTCCAGAGAAACAAAGACAACTTTAGCCAACGCTGTGATGTAGGCAGAAAAGAAAGAAAAGAAAAAAGAATCTGCTCCTGGGCCACATTCAAGCTGCTGGTGTGTTGTCCCAGAAAGCCATAAATTGATTGAGCCCTAAATAAATATCAGGTTTGTAACCCACTTTGTAAAGGGGGGCGCTTTGGTTTGGAGCCACGAAACTGCATTGCGTTGCCTCACTTCATTTTCTGACGCTTTGGATGTCTCCCCATTAACTATAATGGAAAACTCAACAAACAGCTATAACTTCTTTTTTTAGTTTTGGCAAGCACTAAGTGCCTATAACTTCTCCAATTTTTTCTCCCAAAACTGGATGACGTCTGGGGTAGCGGGAGATGAAGCTTGCCAAATTTCAGATAGATAGGTGCAGCAGGGTGGTTTATGCAAGGACAGCCTTTTAAAGTTTACATTTTTTTTAAAAAAGGAACATCTTCCCTTTTACACTGGTTCCTGGGAATGACAAGAGGCCCTGCCTGTGGGCTACCCATGGCATCTGATGGACCACTGTGAGAAGAGGATGCTGGACTAGATGGGCTTTGACCTGATGCAGCTAATCTCTTCCTATGTTCTCCCACCCCTTGCTTTTCTGGACAATCTGTTGTGTATTTTTTTGGAGCAATGCTTAGTGCACACTTTACCTTGATGCTGGTAAAGCCCTCAGAGAACCAGCACCCTTCTCTTTTGGGCAGAAACGGTGTTTCACTCCTACTTGCTCTTTGTTTCAGAGAGAAACTTGGCTCAGCCTTGAAGCTTTCTTTTAAGAGCCATTGTGCTTTGAGCTATCAGCAGCAGTAGGCAACAGCAGCAGTCTTCTACTGGTATAGGTGTCACCCTCCTATTCCACTCTCTGCTCCGAACTGAGGTGCCCAAAGGCACCTAAATCTGCCCTCATTAAGTACTGGTGTGCTTTCTGGTGGAACGGGTAGGGGATGTGTCCTGCAACCCTTGGCCTACAAGAGAGTCCATGGCCAGGTTTGGCTGGACTGGTCCTATATTACCTGGAAACACTTAGCTAGTTGCAACCCAGTCATTACCCTATAAACAACTGAGTGTGTTTGTGTGTGTTCAACCATCATGCGTTAACTGGCTCAAAATGGCTGGATATAGAAGATGGGAGATCAGTCTTCAAAAATCTACCCAAAGTACTTACTTCACAATGAGCGTTTCAAGTCTATATAACAGAAGGCATATAGCAGTGAATGGTGTGGCAAGACCCAATGTTTTGGCATTGATGA